ATTAATAATAACCCTCTGGGGATCTTTTTTTGTTTCTGTTGTTGTTTTTCAATTTTCTGCCTGAAGGCAACATGGCATTTTAATGTTCTAGAAAAAAAGTGACGTCTCTTTCTTCCCACGACACCCAAAAGGGTATAAGTGGCGGATAAAAATAAAGTAAAAGAACAAAAAAGGAAAACGAACTGGACTTCACGTTTGATGACTCTGAACTTGCTGTTGAAAGGCTACGTCATCATCGACCCACAGGTAGAGTGAAAGGAGCAGACTTGAAGAGGAAGAGAAACAGACGGAAGCATAGGGATAGAAAGAGAGAGAGAGAGAGAGAGAGAGAGAGAGAGAGAGAGAGAGAGAGAGAGAGAGAGAGAGAGAGAGAGAGAGAGAGAGAGAGAAAGTGTGTTTCCCCTATATCCATCTATTTCGTCACTCTTTGTCAATGAAGACTGGTCTTGGTTTGCGAGTGGGTGGGATGAGGGGTATTTCTTGTAAGTCCTACTTCTTTTCTTTCCCTCTGTTGATTCTGTTCGTCCATCTTGTCCTTAACCGAAATAATCGTTATTGCATCTTCTGTGTGTTCTTCTCCTTACTCAAACTGAAATTAGTCTAGACTTCCTCCGTCCATTGGCTGTGATCTTCTACAGCTTCCACAGATTGGAATAAACCGTATCGTTCGGAAATCAGAGTGACACTCAAGAATTGTTTTTATTATCGTACTGTTTCAGGTTCCAGTAACGCTAGCACCCTTATGTGGGCAGGCGACCAGAATGTGGACTTTTCTTACGCCGACGGCCTCCACTCCGCCATCTTGGGATCTCTCAGTATGGCCATGGTGGGGTCGGGCATCACCCACTTCGACATTGGAGGCTACACTACCTTCGGCACACAGGGACTGCGCAGGACGGAAGAGCTTCTGTTGAGGTCAGCAGAGGTCGCGGCCTTCACCCCAGTGTTCCGGTCACATGAAGGTCAGTGTCAATGTGTTGTAGTCCATGTGTTTGATTAACACATCGTCACACAATCACGCGCATTGAAATCAATGATCTCTTAACTGTTTTATTGAAAGAACAAAGTCTATCAAGCACCGGGTTTCTAAAAAAGAACCCATTTAAAAGGCAATAACCCGATCGTCTTTAAACCATTTTCAACAAAACTTCGGAAAAATATAACTCAACAAGGGGAATGTAATATTTTTCAGTTTTAAAAAAGATCAACTAACATGTTCGAAAAATAATATCAAGTTTTAAAAGTTTCAGCCAAAATTGATCGAAACACAAAACTTTAAGAGTTCTTAAAAATCAGCCTTATTGTTTCATTTCAAATAGTCACTATTTGTGCAGTTAAGAACACATTTAAACAAAATTAATATTGCTAAATAAGCCTAGGGAGGTGATGGCTATTTGAATCTACAGGTGTTGACAATTTCTCTCGATACAAGCTTCAGTAGGCTACTGTGAATTTTGAATGGCCTCATGGTGTGCTTCTGGATCGATTCTTTGGACGTCATATTCAACATTGAGTTTTAACTGTTCGATTGATTGTGGGTTGTTTCCGTAGACTCTGTCAATGAACCCCCCTCCCCCCCCCCCCCCAAAAGCAATCCCCCCCCGAAACAAAACTAACAAAACACAGACAACAAAACCCAAAGACAAAAAATCAAAGGGTCCAAGTCAGGGAGAATGTGATGACCACCTTATTTGTAAAGTACCGGCTCATAAGGCGTTCCCTAAACCTTTCTTACAACTACACATGGGTCACTCTTGACGTATGGGGTATGGACCTATCTTACTGGAACCAGGCATCTACAGCATAACAACCCCTCCCCAAACTTCTACAAAACTTTTACAGCTCAGTGAGATATCCATCTGATGTGACTGTCGTGGTTTTACCGTCTTTGTCCTGGAACTAGAATGTGCCTATCACGCCCCTGTAGCTGAACGCTTTTAAGAAGTACAATTTTGAGTTTTACCCTATTTTTGTTGGGAAATGTTAAAACTTGATATCTCGTACACTTTGATTGATTTTCTCCATATTTATGGACTTGATGTCTTCATGGTTGAATTTTGTTTCTTCGAAGTTTGGTTGAAATTGGTCCAGAGATGATTGAGTTATTGCCCTTTAAGTGGCTCCTTTTAAAAAAAATTTTTTTAGACACCCTGTATTATAAGTAGGTGGTTGGAGGGTGCCACTGGTAGGCCCAAAATCTCTTCTTCCCCTCTGTTGCTTCCGGCTGTCAGTCTTGCTTTTTTCGACACTATAATTGATAGTCGTTATCGTGTTGGTGCGCTTCTCTTTACAAAAGCTAAACAGGTAATATAATCTGAAAATAATAATGATAATAATAAATAGTATTTATACTGCGTATTTCCATTTTCTTAAAAAAATGCCCAGTGCGCATTACTGCAAAAAAGACATCACATCTTAAAAATCAATCGACCTGCGTGTACGTAAAACAAAGTATTATACATATAATATAAATGTATATTATGTGTAAAAATTTATATGAGAAAAACAGTCTCGCAGTGAGGTTGGAAATGTATTCACTAAAAATATACCATGCAATAAAAATTCACGGTCACAATAAAGTTGAAACGTGAGTAACTTGAAACATTCATTGAAACATTCATTATATACTGATAAAAAACATTTCCGTTCTCTCTCTGTCTCTCTCTTTCTCTCTCTCTCTCTCTCTCTCTCTCTCTCTTTCTCTCTCTCTCTCTCTCTCTCTTTCTCCCTCTCTCTTTCTCCCTCTCTAGTTTTCTTTTTGTCTATCTGATCCCTTTAATCCCCACCATCTCTCTTTCTCATTCTTTGTCTGCCTCTCTCTGTCTCTGTCTGTTTCTGTCTGTCTCTCAATTTTT